CTTTTTTGATGTCAATGGAAATATGTCTAGAATCTAACACATTTCTGTTATACTTTAATGAAGGAAGATGCATCAGGTCGTCGTCCCGCAAAATCACTTCCGCAAGTAGTACGTTTGATCGTTATTCAGTTGTGCGTCATTGGACACATTTTCGTAATGAACAACCAAATTTATCGATGAGCGATGGTCGTTGGCTCATCGGTGATAATAGCGTGGCACCAGCACCTCGCACCCGCGTCCACGACGCAGGGTGGAACGAATAAAAAAAAGCGAGCCCGTCAAAAGAAGAGAAGAGAACAGGAGGTGAGAATGAGGGCAACGTTGTTGGAGGGCGAGGAGTAAAGGACGAGCAGTGCTGCTAAGTCGAATGTCGAGTGATGCCAAAGTTAAATATAAATGCGGTCTGCGAGAGAGAGAGAAAGAGAGAGAGAGAGAGAGAGAAAGAGAGAGAGAGAGAGAACGCGTCGCGACGCCCATCCTGGATCGATGATCCAGCGCCGGGACCAGTCTCTCTGTGGTTCGCGTCGCGAGATCCGGTATAGAAATTGTCCTCTCTTCCTTTCTTTTTTTCTTTTCTTTCACCTTTTTACTTCGATCTAATCGATATCGATCAAATTTCTCGCTCGATGATCAGTCCTTGATCACAAATTTCGTAGTGAATCCCCAACAATTGCGGAGCAACAAAGTGTGTTTTTCAGAGTAAAATTTTATTTCAATTGATGAGAATCAATCGGTCATTGAAATCATCAGTTGAAACACATCAAGAATTTCCTGGATTTGCTGGTAATGTGTTATCCAAGATATTCAATCATAATTTTTGTAGTACTTTATTTATAATGTTGAAAGTCCGATTTCTGGAGTTGTAGGAAATTACAAAATTTAAAGTTAAGATTTTCGACAAATTAAGCAAGTAAAATAAAGAATTTATATTGTTAAAATTATGATTAAGAGTTTTGGAATGTTCTGTATTTGCAATTCGCGTGGGTAGTTGTTTGCTTGAGCATGTGATGTTTATATATGGTTGCGTAATTCATAAATTTTATTAATCGTAGTAATTTCAATTCTAGTTTTTATAGTATGATCGTTGATGTCAAGGTTGATAAGGGTGAGGACCAATAATAATTACTGACTGACAAATCGGACAATTCCGTCAGCCATTCCGAACGTCAACTATTTCTGATCATCAATTTACTTACGATATTGAGAATTTTCTATCATGATAGACGACATGATAATAAAATAAGTAATGTATTCATTTTCACGTCATATGCATTATTAAATTGATATAAAATGTTTGTCACATATTATAATGAAAATTTGCTAAACAAAGTTGAAAGTGAAATTACATATATATATATATATATTAACACATATACCAGAATAATTTTCAATAGATTTTTTAAATATATTTTTTATCAAGACCAAGAACATTTTTCGATCTTTTAAAAAATTTCGGATTATTAGCTTCATCTAAAAACTTAATAAACAGATAATCCATAACGATTTATACATACATAGTCAAGTTTAACGAATCAACTTGAGATGCTCTCGAAGACAAGTGCAATGAATAAACCTGGTACGCATCAAAGTTGAGTCATTGCAAAGCTTGTTTAGTATAAAGAATCTAGCATTTATAGTATGATCGTTGATGTCAAGGTTGATAAGGGTGAGGACCAATAATAATTACTGACTGACAAATCGGACAATTCCGTCAGCCATTCCGAACGTCAACTATTTCTGATCATCAATTCAGCAGAGAGATCTTATTTTTGGACGCAGCATCCAAGGTCCAGGATCCAGTATGTCGCTAATATCCGACTGCCCGTTGATCCGTCCTCGCACTAAATTTTCCAGTAATCTGACTGAGATCTCCCTGGCTTTCGTTTTGCCTTGCGTGACCGAGATTAAGATCTCGCTGTTTTAAACAGTGAGCAAAACGTTACTATCACGATTCTAACATTGACGTTTATAATTCTATCGATTAGAAAGATTTGGATTACAAATTACTTTAGCTATATTCCTTTTACCATGTTCTTTAAAATTAATGCTTCAATTATTATTATTCTGTTAGTTCTTCATATTTTCATTGCTAATAACATATCTTAGAATTATGACAGAAAGATGTATGTTATGCGCATATATAGATGAGGTACAAACCGAATGTCATAAAAAAGAATGAATGTCCCGACAGATTCTCATAAATTTTCAAAGAGCAGTATAAATTACTGTTAAATTACAAACTAGCACTACGCCTTTGTTACAAGATCTAGACAATGGAAATATGCTTCTTTGGAGTCTCAAGTTCGTCATATTTTACATTCTAATTTACATCAATTACACACTCTTGGAATATAACCAGTTGAAAATCATTCTCGAACGACAGCAGATCGTGAAAAAGTCGTGACAACTTTCAAGATTTACTTACGAGATCGATCATTATCGGCGGGATATATTTTCAGGATTACATTAATGAAGGGATTGTTCGTACTCCACGTGTGTAGTTAAACTGACGCGACCGCGATGAGTGATTACAGCTGTTAATATCCGTGTCAGTTTCTGAAATATCCGATGTAATCATTGCGAATATACCTGCCGGCTCGGGCGCGTATATGAACGCGGTGCTGATCGAAAATAGAAATAGCGTTATATTTAACCGGCCTACTCGGTATCTAGCTAAAAACCTAAGACTTTTCGTCTACACGCGTTAAGAGCACACAGACTTCCTCTTTCGACTTCACAGCACATAAATGAACTTGGCGAAACAATGGAAGGAGGGTGAGAAATAGTTCTTGTTGCCAGTGCATGTGTCGTTAGAAATATACATGCAAAAAGACTATTCGAAAATCTTAACATTGTTATTCGATCCAATAATAATAAAATAATAACTGTACAGAACCGTTTTTCTAAATTCCTTTAAAAAAATATGTACGTTCAAATATGAACGGTAATTATGACCGAGAAGAGCGTGACGAATTCGATGTGTCTGACCGAAATTGAATAGATATAGACTGCTGTTCCAGTTGCCAAGATTTTTGGTATCAACGAACTCTACGACCGAAATCTTTCGAAATGTTTCTCGATATATTTTCGAAAATATAAAGTGCTTAGAATATACTTATTATTATAACTGACAGATATTTTCGAAATTAACTTAATTATATTAACTTAATTAATTATATTAATTAACTTAATTATATATAAATTACGTATGATTGAAATAAATCTGATTATTTTATTTGGTTGGCGACTTCTGTTTATTATATATCACTCTCGTTATTCGTTTGCTCGCGTGCCTACATTCTGTCTGACATTTTGATAATTATACGTAGATACTTTCTTTCCGCATAGTGTGCAAGAGTTCATAGGTACATTCGTACTCACCTATTTCGAGAAACTTTTGGCCATGTGCCATGTCGAATAGCCGACGCTATTATGCGACCCGAAGTCCATTTAGTTTCTTAAAGTTCATTTGTGGACGTTTTGTTTTCCTAAAAATGATTACTGTCAATCAAACGTCAGATTGTGTCTAGTTCTAAAATGCAATCATTCTAAATGTTTGTATTCAATGGAATGATATTCCGCTACTTTATTAATATAGAACGTGATTGAAAATTTATTGACAAATAAAATAAATCCAAAATAAGTCAAGTAATGATTAACTATATTTCTAATTTTTTTGATCAAATCGATTAATATTAAGATTATCTTCGCTTATAAAATCGGCGCATGAATGATGAAGAAAACGTGACAATATTATCATTTATTTAACATAAATGTCATGTCTATAAAAAGGACAATTTTGCTGGAACAGCTAAAAATTTAGCTACATACAAATCTGAAAATAATTTATTGGACTATCAACATAATTACGTAAAATACTCAAACTGATTGCTAGAATGTTAAAACTTTTGCAACATTGCTCATCATGCTTGACATTCTAACGTAATTATTTTGATAGTCCAATAAAATTATTTTCAGATCTATATCTAAGCTTTTAGACACTTTAGCAAAATTGTTCTTTCCACGATAGACAAAATTAGCAATAAACATACATAAGCGATTGTTGCAATCAAAAATGCGTAATACGAATTGCATATAGAACTGAGAGCACAATTCTATTGTTATTTGGTGATTCAGATAATTAAAGACCAATTGAATCACTATCTTACTTATAGCGATGCTAGCCTATAAACGAGGCGATACGGCGAGCAGTTGAAGTGATCAAAAATGTCGCAACAACATCCGTCGAGACCATCCGGAGGAGGTCATGTGCCTCCGGGTAGCTGGTCAGGACGGTCTAATGCGCCGAGAGCACCGAGTCCCTTCAGGCCCGCTTCGCCATATACACCTTCATCATCGCCATATCCGCAAGGACGAATACGCGGGCCTCCGACTCCAGTCCATCCAGCTCATCCTATGTCGCCACTTGTTTATCCTGGAATAATGATGCACCCGATGAGTCCGGTGCCGATCGGAATGCCAATCTCACCCGGGATGTCACCCGTCTTCGGCTGCCCGACTTCTGGTTACATCCAGTGCCCAAGGCCACGATGGCCTTCGCCGATTCCTACGGGTAGTCAAGTGCCAAGGCCATTCATACCGACGCAGGTATATGTTGTTGTAACACGAAGAATGACAGATCGATAGTAATGTGTCGTAGACGTATGTTCACATTGCGTGTTGCAGTACTCGTAAGGTTATTTAGACTCGAGTGTCATCCAAATTGTAACACAAATAATCATGTTAATGCAAAAGGTGCATCCAGATATAATAGATTAAAAATGCACATTTAAAAGTTATTCTTAATAATTAAAATATTCACAAGTAGTTTTAAAGAATTTCCTCTTCGTTCTCCTTTTTTTAAAAAAAAAATAAAACTTTATTTAAAGTAAAATTTAATAAAAAAATAATGAAGTTCCTGTCAAAGTTTTTAATAAAGATTTCAGTATGTACAGCAAAAACTCAGTATGTAATGCAAGACTTGTTAAAATATGTGTACTTTTTCTCAACTTGCAGAGCACTTCTTTCAGAAGCGATTCGGCGTCACCGATACCATGCGCTCCACCGGAATATCTCATAGCACCCTACAGATCAGGGAATTATGAGTATGTTGGTGTACCCTTAGACCATACGCAGACGGATGAAGAAAGTAGCGGTCCCAGCACAGCCGAGATCATCGCTAGTCAGAGTCAAGATTACGTGGATGAAAAACTCGCCGAGTACCAAGCTACCATTCAACAATTGCAAGGTGAGTTTTATGAAGCCGAAGAAATCAATTCGTTTTGCAATGAAATCGTATTGATCACGTTACAGGACGCTCAATGGATTATCATTACTCACATTCTTCTATAAAACCCTTAATTATAGACTCGCGATTCAAATCACAAAACATTGATGTTGCTGACTCAAATTTCGATTATGGGGATGTAAATGTTAAGATTCTGTATCGTGCCCATGAACGTATTAAAAGAAAACTGTAAAATTCTTGTCGATTTCCATTATTAGGGAGAAATCATTAGAAATTTATTTCTTCTCTAATTTTCTTGCATTTTATTAATCAAGCTAATCTTGATATTTTGCGGAAATTAATATATATTGAATATCGCGCGAATGAAATACGTGGTTCCTTAATTTGAAAATAATAAAGTCAATATTTCTCAACATAAATAAGATTAAAATTATTTTAATTTTCTATATTTCTTTATAAAATAAAAATTGTATCTTTAAGAAACTATAAGTCATATTAGTCATTTTTAGAAACAAAAATATATCTACAAAGTATCCCGCAATTATTGACAAAGTTCTTATGTAAATAAAAGTGATAAAACGGACTAAAATGAATCGAAAAGTCCTCTTTTTGTAATTTTCGTAATAATTAATAAGATATTAATTACTAAAAATCGCCGAATATCTGAAATAATTTTTTACTCAAGTACTATCAACTTGAAAAAACAATAGCTAGGAAATAAAAATTGTACAATATTGAGAAGTTAAAAATTGTTTATTTTCTTTTCATAGAGCTTTAAGAAATTTTTTAGAATTTTTTATCAACTTTTTAATATTGCATTTTCTTATATTGACAATCAACATGAGAAAATGCGATACTAAAAAATTCTGAAAAAATTCTCAGAATTCTGTGAGAAGAAAACAAATAAACAATAAGAAAATAAACAATTTTTGTGACTTGTTATTTTTTTATAAAGTTTAGTATAAAGTATTATAGAGTAAAAAATTATTAAAAATCAATATTCGGCAATTTTTTTTAATAATTAATATCTTATTAACTATTGCAAAACTTGCAAAATAGTAGATGACTTTTCGACTCAATCTGCTCTATCCACACAAAAACGCTGTCAATAATTGCGAGACACCCTGTATATGTACTTGTACAGAAGATCTGGAACTCAGATTTCCTTGTTTGTAGAATTGATCGCAAAAAATGTAGAAGGAAGACACGTCATTACTTGTGGTATGTGCATTTGCAGGATCGTAATTCGTCTATGCTTCTTGCGCAATGGATCGCGACATCGCGTCGTGCGTCTCGCATACTCGAATCAAACTGTGCACGGGAAAATAGGATAGAATCCGCAAAGACGTGAACGAGTTATAAATAGACATGACGAACACCTGCCGCGCCATTCGCAATCGTTACGTTCGCTTTTCCTGTCAGCGACACTTCGCTGTCGGCCCTGGTTGGACGAATCACCTCGTTAGATTGATAACACAATGTTCAAAGTTCTCGATTCATACATACAAAATGTCCCAGAAATGCTTCGACCTGCCGGTCGTTTAAATATATCACTAAATTTCTTCTAGAAAACATTTGATAAAAAAAGTTCTATTTAAAAAAAATTTAGTTATTCTTCATGTAAGATTGATGTTTTATATATTTAAAGTGCTATTTAAATTCTTTATTACCAAGTTTCAAAATGTTTTGACGAAATGATGTCAATTGGAATTTGGGTATTAATAGATCGTAACACGCTCATTAAAATTTGTAGCGTGCTTGCGCATGCTTCATGCGTGCTTAATAAATCTCGTGGCTTATGTGAACGAATTCATGACTCAGGGAGATAAATGTGTATGAAATTGACATCTCGCTGGCCAATTAAATTCAGCGCCAGGTTATTTGATGTACAAGTTGATGATCGCACGCTGGATATCGCGTGTCCGAAGATGCTCTGTAATTGTGGGGACCGCTTTGCCGAAGATTGCAACATGTCAGAATGATGATTGCGAATGAAGTTGATGAGTTATTCGTGACATTAATGATCGTGTTAAGGAAATCGTACTACTATTACATCGATTATTAGCAAAAAGGATCGCTTGCTAGATGTAGCATGACTATGGACAATTACATGATGAATTCTTTTAATCCGCGAAATAATCAGACAATCATATAATTATCGCTCATACGCACTTAATTGCTTTAATATGACGTAACTGCGTGCGTGATGTAATTTAATTATTTCCATATTTACATTATACATTCTAATGAAGTATATTTGCAATGGATTACTATACGCGGAAAAAAACTTGTGCTAAAGTATTTAAAAATTTAATTAGATACATAGATCTGAAAGTAATTTTATTGGACCAAAATATTTACGTAGAAATATCAAGTATGATGGGCAATGCTGCAGAAAGCTTTTGACATTCTATTAATCGATTTGAGCGTCCTATATAATTATTTTGATGATCCAAATGATTTTCAGATTTGTATTTAGTTAAATTTTTTAAATACTTTATTGTAAAATCATCCTATTTCTGTATGATTTAAATTTTTGAATCAATTCCTCCTGAGATTTATGGATTGTTGGTGCAACTTCCAGTATATTTTTATCTCTTAAGATCTTTAATCTTCTTTTTTATACCGCAATGTCAAACGGACTTAGACTATTCTAATTTCGTCTCCTGATGCTGATATTTATCTCACTATATTTTAACTCGAACTTAGTAAGGCTTAACATATAAGATGCTATATAAGAAAAACTAAAGCTTTTAATGAACTTCTGTTACTTTCCTCTAGTAATTCTTTCAATTTCTTGTTCTCTATAATCTTAAATTTGTAAGAGCTAATCTTGAAAATATATATATTATATTTTCAAAAAAAAAACTTCTACATATTTATTATCAAAAAGCTCTTTATTCTCTATATTATGTCAAATCCACATACCACAATAATGCTTTATAACTGCATAATCATTGATTAATTCGAGTTCGAAGTTTCCCCTCGTGAGAGAGGCAGCACCTGAAGCGACCGCATTGATGGTCGACGAGCTAGTCGACCTGCCGGCTGGCATTGTAAATAGTTGAGTGGGCCAAAAGAGTTAAAGAAGAGGCAGGATAAAGGATTTAATCGAAAAGGATCCCGGAACCGCGAGTTTTTCTTCGGAGGGGATCCGCGATCAAGTTTGTCTTTGGTATCGGCATTGCTTGTTGTCCCGTCACATCATTGTCGGGAAAGTGGGAATGGCGGCGGTATGAGGTGGAGGAGACCAAAGGAGGAGGTCTCGACAGGCCGGTAGTATCGAACCGGCGCCCGTCGCGCACGGCCATACCGTATACATTCCGTATTCGTACATTCCATGCGCGCGCCTTCAACGCAAACTATACGTAGGTGCGCACTCCGCTGTTATGGGTGCTGACAGAAAATCAGCCCGAGATATACTCGTAAGCAGAGTTAAAGTTTACCGATTCGATTGATAGGACGACTAGACGCGTCTGTAAATACTCGTACGCTCTTGACAGTCATTAAAACGGAGCAGGTGACGTGAATGCGGCATATGTAACCTAGTGTAAGGGGTGTGGTGCCGGGAGAACAGGTGCTGAAGAGTTCTCGCGCATAAAATTAGGGCGAGGGAAGGGAAGAAAGAAGAACCGGACTGATTAGCGGACTCAATGAACGTGACATGCCGGTTGATGATTCTTGAGAAAAAACAATGAGATAAAAGAACACGAATATGTCGCGGACAACATCACCCAAAGGTAGTCCAACACCGCCGAGGGTAGATAGCCCCGGCAGTGGCGGCGCCGATGGTAGGGGCAGTCCAAGAACGCCACGTGGTACTCGGCTGAAGGACCGAGTGAGTTTTTTCGAACAGGTCTGGTCGACTGGACGTAGTCCCAGCACCGAGGATCTCCTGGAAGACTCGGACGCGCGCAGACCTATCCGGTCTCCAACACATCAGCGACCATCTTCTAGAACAAGTGATTCTTCATTCGAGGAAAGCTTCGAGCGATTAGTGGAGGAAGGCGAGCTGAACGGCGCTAAGGTCGTGAAGTTTGAAAAAATCACCGTGAGAAAGAGCGTACGTGCGATCAGTTCGGGTAGTACTAACGACAACACTGCGGTTGTTCAGCAGCGTGTCTTGACAGAATCAAGTAGAACTCCTAGCGAGGAGCACATCCTCGAGGACTCGGCCTATCAAAGTCATAGTCATGGCGTGCAGAGTCACGGCAGCAAGTCTAGCTCGGTCACCTCTTTTACGAGGTTCCCCTCAGAAGAGAGCCTATCGCAGAGAAGAAGTAGCAGTCCTCGAGTCCAACAATTGGGCGCGGATGAACGGCCGCCCGCGGAGTGGTACGCCGAATATCGCAATCAGAGCTTCCAGAATGTCGCCGCGAGAATCGAGTACGTGCGCAGCAGAAGCGAGTATGACGCACACATCGCTGAGATCAAAGGTACAGGTGTCACTTGACCTGCAGAAAATAAATATCTCGGCCTGCTGTCGATTCTCTTGTTATTTTTCTCATCACCTCGATACTTCTGACTACGTTCATACTGTTTGGCGAGTTTCATACTCGCTTGCAATATTTTCATCAAATAGCGGAAATTCTCGTACACTCGAGTACTGATATTCACAATAAAAAGAATACTCTTCGGACAGTTGTTGATAGATTCAATAATTGCAATTATGATTAGCGATATTTGAAAGGAGATCTCGATATAGGATTATTTAGCACGTTATGGATTTAATCTCAATCAGCGATTTCACGCATTGTGATATATTAATTTTAATTGACAACTGCAAAGTGTATTTTGCAAATCTTGCAATTCTTAAAACATCTGCAGAATCAAACTCATTTTTTAAACTGTCTGGACTTACAAATTTTTTAATTTATAAATGCTATGCAGTTATCGAAGTTTAATCGTATGATAATCTTTGTATCGCTGGTACAAAAATCATCGTAGAACAAAGATATCTTTTTCTGGAAAATAAAATGGAACTGTTTAGAGAAATAATCTCTTTTACATCTGTCGAAATGTCTGGATTAAAAAATCCCCATAATAGATTAATCATTTATGGGATCATTGCGTAACTTTGCTATTCATATGCTTTAACGACAAGCTGCGTATAAAACGTAACTCATGCTCGTAACACGGTATAATACTGAATGATGACGATAGGAACCTCAGTTCAAGGCTGTTTTTCTATCTCAGTCCATATCTTTTATCCATTCTCTTGTTCACCTAGAGTTCTTTTATGAGAAATACAAAGAGAAATTCTGCGACCATGTCATGTATTATAATAAAACCGAATATCTTGATATACTGATACAAAGATATAAATGAATCTCAAGATCAAGTAATTACAGTTAAAGATGAGAATGCGATTCAAAGTGTTTTTACACGTTAGTCATTTTTTCGGTAAAATTCTGTTGTCACCATTCCATCAAATGATGAATTAATCAAATGTGCCAAATTTCGAGGAGCAGGCTTCTAGCGACAGAATATATTGTATTACACCTACGCGCGTGTTCGAAATATTCACGCGTGTATGCAGCGAAAGGTTGATTGTCCGTTGCGTTAATGAATAAAACGAGAACTTCTGCGGTCGGGTTCGTTCCATAGTACTCTCGCATGCTGCGATTTCTATAGTTTGCCTGACAGGCCACGTGCGCGTTCTACAACATGCGAGCTTACCTCATCGCTTATACGAACACCAATTGTTAAGCAATTAAGAAACAATTTCGCGTGCAAATATAGAGCCCCGGGACGTAATGAAGAGCGATATAATCGTATTAACAAGTCTCGATTTTAAATAATAAAAGTTTCTAATTGTAACAGAGTTCTTTGTGTTCTATCTTGAAATTCTTGTGATTCTATTTTAATCTGTTGAAGTTCTGAAAGTTTCAATGTATCAAATTTTTTACAAAAATGTTCATTAAAGAAGAAGAATCTACTTCACTACTATTAGAAGCTACTTTGTTTCCGAAGTTCAAATTCGTTTCTATACAAAAATCTATTTCTATTTTAAAGAATTTAATTACACTGAGAAAAAAAGTCATTAATTTGACTAAATTAGTTTAATTCATCTTTATTTCCTTCGTTGGAGAATATATGTATTTAAATTAAATATTATATATTTTTCATTTAATACATACATTTAACGAAAGAAATAAAGCTCAATTAAACTAATTTAGTCAAGTCGTTGCTAGAAAACTAGCAATGCCACTGAGATACGCAATACTTATCATTTATATCTTTACATAACATATGCAGATACGTTACGTCACTTTTGTTTTCATCATGATTGTATTTATCAGGTTATTTATTAATATCATCTATATGATATCATATATCGATCAACGAATATTTAACACGCTAAGCTTCAAATTAAATGCCAAACGGCACCTTTCCATAAAGACTCATAGATATATTTATACGTCTGATAAATCGCCCGAGTTATCGTATGAATGTCAAGGCCATGCTTGGTTATCTCTCATCTCAGGGCTGGCTTTTCGATTGGTGCATTGAGTCGTTAAAACAATTTTACTGGTCAAACGCGAAGGTCAACGGTTGACGATCAGACTTACTTAGATCGGATTGTTGTGTCAGAAAAGAGGCTTCTTTACCGTAACAATGTAATAAGTTTTACATATCTGGATTCCAACGCAATAATCAGGATAACCTTACATAATTGTCTAAACATTTTAAAGGATTGTTTGCCGAAGAATGTTTTCGGAACTTTGAATATATGGAATATATGGAATATATGTCTATTACTAATACGATATGTCAGCGATGACCAAGAAATAAATGTTTCGCAGAATTTACGTGCGACACAATAGATTTATACTAAAACTTTAATAACTTTACTTTTATTTTCTACCAATGGATTCATCGGTTAGTTTTTAAGCGATGTTAGTGATCATTAATTTAATAGAACAGAACTTTAATAAAACATTTGACTACATAATAATTTTGCAAATTCGATCAAAAGATAGTTATTATTGCAATTCTCGAATATATCAGAAAAAGTAAAATAACTAATATAGTTAACTAATATAGTTACTAGTTTTGTAACGTAATGTTGGAAAATATTTGAAAGATATAGATTAGAATTATATTACGGATATTGGTTTTATAGTTTTCATAATAATATTTGCATCACATATATATTTTTTTATAAGAAAAAGTAATGTGATTGTAATGTTATAGCTAATTAATGAAAATGAAAATTGACACAAAAATATTATTAGGAACCAAGATCTGCTTTAATTGAATTTAGTCTTCTTTGCTTATTCGTATTGAAGATTTTTGTCAATTTTCACTTCAATAATTAATATACCGTATATTTTACAACAATTATTCATTAGAATGTATTTTCTAACAATAATTATCAAGCAATATTTTCTTGAAATGAAATACAATTGATTATATCGCAAATGATTTATATACAAGTGATCACAATTCATAACTATAAATTTTCATTTTTCATTACATAAACATTTTTGCTCGTTTTCTATTAATAGTTATAACTGATTTATTGAATATAAAAGCGATTTTTTAATTTCCGTTTTACGTTCACTCGATAAAATATTTCTTCATTTCTTGATTTTACCACAGAACGTGTTTATTTTTTGTTGCTGAATCATGAACACATATAGAGAGACATCATTCTAATCTATGAAAATATTTCCGCTGATATCTATAATATGTTGAATAATATAAGTATAGCAAATGTTATAATATAATATATGTACATGTATTTTGTCATATTACTACGATTTAGAATATCGTGATTATGATAATTATTCTTAAACTTATCCATTTAACTCGAAATAAATTCAAAGTTATATCAAAGTTTTTTCCTCTTTTTAAACACTCATAAGTATCAATTGTTGCTTATTTAAATTTAATGAGCCACTACAATTACACAATAAATCGTCGAAATATTCTAATGAACTCGATTACACACATACACACACGCACGCACACACGCACGCACACACGCACGCACGCACGCACGCACGCACGCACGCATACACACATACACATATTATGAATTCGGAATTCAATTATATGACAAGTTATAATAAAAATAACATATACTATAAAATTAGGTAAGTAGGTAGATAAGATTCGTTTGATCACTTCTCGCTCTTCCATAATTTATCCCGTTTCATCCGAGGAGACATCGTCTGATCTCATCCTCGAGAATTTGTCCTACTTTACTGATTCCCTTTCCTCCTCTCCCCTGAAAACCGGACATCTCAGATGCTGTCGTTTTGCATAGCTGTCATAATATTGATCAGCGACCACAAATACGATAATATATCGTAAAATTCATAGATACATATGTCTACTTACGTAATAAAAAAAATTAGAAATTCTTCCTTTTTAATTTCTGTTTTAATTTTTTTAAAAAGTAAACAAAAAATCTATCAACAAAATAGATTACGAGATGCTCAAAAAAGATTACGTTACAACGAGATTCAAAATTGTTTTAATCGAAAAATAGCAAAAGTGTTAAGTGCTACAATATATGATAGGCGTTTATTTCTTTTGTTTTGTTCTAACTCTGTAATTTATTCGCACAACAGTAACAATTTGAGAACTCTATGAATTCCGCAATATAGTAAGTTTGAGATGAATCTATTCATTTAATTAATGTGTTAGCGACTATCTGTGATACGGTTCGCGAAACGGCACGCGACTGTCTCTGGTTGCTTTAAACGACCAACATCTATTTACGTTTTCTTCCTCGTGCGACCGGTTGAACCATCACGACAAGCAATGGTTAGCGTGGCGAATGTTGAAAGCGATCTGACCTCCGTGAGTTGATCGTTCTGATTCAAAGTTTCTCTATCGATCTGTCGTTAATTTCTCTTCATCGGCTGCGTAAAAATAAATCGATCGTAGCTGAGAATCGGCTCTATACAGCACAAACTTGCAAACAATAATTGAAAAAGTGAAAGTCAATTTTGGCAACGTCTGTAATATATTACTTAAATAAGATGATGGCTTGTGATATATTATGTAAGTTTTATAATTATTTTTTAAATTATATAAAATTAATACATTTATAATTTAATATATTTATATTTATTAAATCATATAGAATATTTTAATATTAA